GTATTAAATCGTCATATCCAACGTGCATGACGTCATAACGTGTGATACCACTTTTTTCTTGCACGTTACTACGTCATAACGCGTGATGACTAGTCTTGTTGTAGAATGTGGAATCGACACAAATTCAAGCGAACAATTCAAAATTTTAATGTTCATTCTTTTAAATAAATAATATAACAATTATTGAATTCGGTTTTCCATGGAATCCATGCTATAAAAAATTATCAAGCATTGATAACCACAAATTTCGGCTTGATAATTCTTCATATCGTGTTCAACCTCATTGAATAATTGTTAAATACTTTATGGCAAGCGTCATTTCCGAAGAAATCGAGCTCAGTAATCGGCTGAGAAAAATTTTCAGCGGCCATTACTTTTCTATCCACGGTTACTTTCGTGTAATGGACCGGCACTTTCCCGCGATCACTGGTAACGCCGCTCTTCGTGCTCGGTCTGTTCAAAAAGACCTCAGTCCGATATTTCTCGGTAAAGACCTCGCGCTCGGTTAATAAGAAGTTACTACATATTACATTTAAAGATTTAATGAAAAATATTTTTATTTTAAATTAATTAACATTGAGATCCATAAAAAAAGTTTTTGGAACTTTTAAAGTGGTTAAGCTCACGCTCTAGATTGTGTCAGGTTCAGCCAGGGAACAATACGCTTCTCAATTTTCTGAGAGTCTTTATGAAAATATTATTATTTGGCCTTTATCGTATAAATGGCCGGAAAATCAATAGGGAAGTAACACGTTTTTGCATTTTCATCAGATAAATAACATCGTGCATCGCATAAAGTCACACCTCGCAACATTATTAAACTAAATTAAGGAAAGAATGTATGCACAATATACGTTTCTAAGGCCCGCAAGGGTAACTCCATTCGGGGTTCTTAAAAAACAGCTAAGTGCTGGAAAGGCATAAACAAAAGCAAGCAGAGTATCGCACTTACATTTCACTTGAGCAGTGAGGTGGTTTTGGCATTCGGCATCCGGATCCGACATGATTGATTATGTTATACGGTGATATCGCTTTGTATGGCTCTTCACCTGAAAAATATTATAAGAAATTGAGAAAATTTGCAGACACAGTCGTTTTCTTTGTCATTGATTTTACGGTTCTATTTCATGGCAATAAAAATTATGGCTTTCATTCCTTGCACAGTAACGACCATTACGGCTGAAAAAAAAGAGAAATAAAAAATTTGCGGAATGAAATGAAAATGTTCAAAGCCACTATAAACGCCTGTATTCAAAAAGCTCACTTACACCCATTAAGTGTGAAATTGAAATTTAGTCATTACTGATTAATGAGAAAGTTCTATTTGAGTGGAAATAACGCCATGGAAATGAGCCGTGTGAGAGAGCTCTTACCTTGCGTAGCACCCTTCCCCAAAAGAGTGTTACGAATTAAAGATAGATATCATGCATATTTTTGTCGCCATTTAATATTCTCGAAATGTTTTAGTATACAAACAACTTATTAACTTCGTCCATACGATAACACATACCCAAAGTCACGATTTCATAAAGAAGGACGCCAAAACTCCATCTATAAATTCAAAATGATGTCTGTTAGATGCATATCATTCTCGGGGTCTGGAAATATGATTTTACGTTACGGAACAAACCTACTATGACCAGTCTCTAACCTGCCTAAGGGCAAATAAACGTACTATGTCCAGTCTCCACCTGCCCAAGGAACAAACGTATTATGACCAGTCTCTAACCTGCCTAAGGAGCAAATAAAAGTACTATGTCCTGTCTCCACTTGCCCAAGGAACAAACGTATTATGCATGGCCAGTCCTCAACCAAAGGAGTAAACCTATAACCACTAGGGCAAAAACTTACACATCGCTGGCTGTGGTAAATATACCATGAATTAGGCTCTCCAAGGCCATCCATTTAACAGGAAGAAGATTCTAATAAAATCAAATTAAATAAGTAATCCTTAGTGTGTGCTTGTATATAATAAAAAGTTGTACTGTTTCTAAAGCAAAACAAAGTTTTTTACAGTGGCGTAGCCAGCCTGACGATTTTGTCCCGCTATGCAAATTTCGAGTTATTATAATTATTCATATCTTTAGAAATTCATTGTTTTCGCAGTTAATGAACAGCAAAATATTAGCATATTGGGACAAATTGTCAGGCTGGCTACGCAACTGATTTTTTATGTCAACTTTTTTGGTGTAATTGCATGTCAATAAAATCGGCGGAAAAAACTCGTGACGTGGTTTAACATGCATATGCATTCACAAATACACCGAGCCTTCTTCAAAATGGATATGGCGTCTGTTCTGAATAAAATTTAAACATTAGCAATTTTTTCTAAATTTTCTTCCTTTGTTTTGTCCATATGCTTTTGTCTGTTCAGTATTTTCAACAGGGGTTTCATCAAATATACGTTATATTGGAAAATAATCTAAGAAAAATTCAATATTTCCTAGTCTAGCTAATAAATAATGCTCAGATAATCAGATTCACTCTTTTGGCAAAGTATCATGCAAATTAAAACATTATTTTCCAGTAAAATTGCCCTTACTATTATAATTCATATACCTGATTGCTTCGTATATATTCCTCAGCACTTCCAATATCTCTCGCCAAACCGAAATCAGAAATTTTTGCAACGTTATCTAATTCACCAGCAACAATTAGGATATTTCTGGCTGCCAAATCACGATGGACAAACTAAAATATTGCAAGAAGGTTAACATCATGCATGAATGCCATAAACCATAAATATTAATAGCATGAATAAGCATGCAATAATGCGAGCACGCAGGGAGTTCACGTGCATGCAGAAGATACAGTGGGTGCATATATGATACCTATTTGTACTTGTATAGAAGCACAATTTTACAATCCTATGGAATAGACGTTTTCGATAATTACGACACAACATTATCGTTTTGAGATGCTGGGCCTGATGCTGGGTTAAGTAAGATGGCAATCGCGTTTTACTGTCACGAGCCACGTGCAAAGATGCAAAACGTCTTCTTCAACATGCATGCATGAAAATGTTTTTTCATTTTGAAAAAATAAGTGTGAAAATAAGCTATAACACAAGAACGAGGCTGCTGGTCGTGGCCTGGTAGCCTCGTTTTAGTGTTACGGCTTATTTTCACATTTATTGGTCAAAGTTAAAAATTCCTTTTATGCATGTGTACAAGAACAATGTTTTGAAAAGAACTTAAAATCCATGTAATTTAGGGTGATTCTAAGTTTAAAACCATAATGTTGGACGTAATTATCGAACGTACGTACGTTTAAATACAAAATCTACCTATTTACCAGTTCAAGTACGGTGTTAAACCATCCAAATGAAAAATATTTTGAAAACGGTTTATAATTCAAACTATCAGTTATGCTGACGCGACCGAAATTTTGATTTAGCCAATCGCACGCTTGCAAACGTTCGCTAGTTACCAGTTTTAACTCGTCTTAAACTCACACATGCGAATAACTTACAAAAACGCCCAACGTTCATGACATAATATCGGACAACTTTAATTTCGCATTTGCATTCCCGAGCGTAATTAAAACCTCCGGGCGGAATTAGTACCCTCGCCCTGTGCTTGGCACCGGCTCGTGCATAAACGTTCATTAGGTTTCGGACGTCGACCCCTGGTGAAATTGGTAACTTTTGCTTTTGATTTGATGAGAAATGATGATTTTTTTACTATTACTCTTTTTTAATACCAAGCAGACCGCACGGTACGATAACGAATCCCGCACTCGATATCGGTGATATATCATACTAGGCTGCATAACACATGCATGCTAAAACACAGAACTATGGATTTTATCATCTTGGTGGACTTTATTAAATCGCCAAACGCAAACAAAATGAACTTCAAAGTGGAAGAAAAGTCCATATGTAAACAAACGGTTTGATGTATGATTAGAAATTTGAATTCAACGTTGAAAAGATTGAGAGCTATAGTGCACTAGTGCAGTAGGCACAACTGTCATAATACCTTTTGATTTGAAAGATGCGCCATTCCACTTGCCACATCAACGGCAATTTTCAAGAGTTGACGATCGTTCAAGGTGGAAGTTATATGCGAGCCAAGGTTAGTAATAAGTTTACTCTTCCTCAGAAATTTCTGAAGATTTCCAGCAGAGCAGAACTCTGTCACCACCATTAGTTTTCCTGAAGTAAAATATTTGATATTCGCGACATCAATTAAAAATACGTAATTATAAAGTGCCGAACAACCCTACCTACTAAAGAAGAGATATTAATGAACAAATATAATAACAATGGTTTTCCATTTTTGTCGTACCTTCCACTGAACAACCGCCTATAAATCGTATTACATTTGGATGAGGTTCTTTGTTAATTTTTTTTAAAGTCTCCAACTCAGCCAAAAGATCAGATATATCAGACTTCTTCGCAGTATCTGAAACAACGTCAACAATTTTAAAAGTTGTGCTTTATATAATATCTATAAGAAATAGAAAACATTTTCCATGTTTCTAAACAGTTTTAGTATAAATTTCGAGGTGACTATTGTTTTTCCAGCTGCATTCTGATTGGTCAAGATTCACTGTATCTGAAGTGATAGTCATTGGTCGGTGACTATAGCTTTTTGTTGGTGTTTTTCAACTTTGAGATTTGAAGTAATTAGACTTTTTTATGAAATTATTTTGATTATTATTTGCAATCACCTCGAAATTTATACTAAAATATTTAGTCGCCTCTGGCTCAGTAATCACCTCGCCTTCAAAGAACTAATTATTAAATAGAGGCCCCCCTTGGGGTTTAGGAGGACGTTATTAATTCGAGTTCTCCCAAACACTTGAGCGTGTTTCTATGACTGAATAGAAACATAAGAAATTTTTTTAATCTATGTCATTCATACTATAACTCAATAAAAAGATTTTGTACAGATATTATAGCTCGATTCAATTACAAATTCTAATTACATTACTTCGCTTGTCAATTTCGGTGGGAAATTATATATAGCAATAGGAATTGATTTAAGATTATTGACCTTTCAACATTTTGACAGCAACAAGCTCAGCATTATCGTGCCCGGAGCCGTATATGAAGCTTGTTTAACGATTCCAAATTGTCCAGCCCCGAGTGTTTTTTCCATTATGTGCAGTTGGTTTGGCGAAATTTCCCAGTCTTTTAATAAGGTTACATATGAGATCTCTTCTGGCTGGAGCTCTAAAGGAAAATTCGCATTTTCTCATGTCCCAGCTAATTTGGGAAATTTTACACCATGTTAGAAAGTATATATGGACAATAGACACCAAAAGTCTAGTGAATGCTATTCTTTTATATCATTTTGTTACATATGACAGGTGTGACAATTCTGTCGTCCAACAGACCCTAAATCATTTGTTTTTTGCCATGTTCAAGAATGAAAAATCCCTTTCACACTTTTATCATCATATCAAAGACATTTTAGCTACTTATCATGTAGATTTGCAAATTTAACTTTCCACTGTGCAGGCAGCCAGTGCCTCTATTCGAAACATTGAACAGCTTGCATTAATTGAATCAGTTAAGATTTTGTGGTACTTCACTTTACAGTTCAACATTGAGTGAAGTGACACAAAATTTTAACTAATTAATGGGAGAATATAAATTCTTTGTTTTGAATAAAAGAAAAATTTCCCTGCAGCTACAGTTACTAACCGCTTTCTTCGTTCAACTGTTCCAGCTCAAGCAATGTATCATTTCGGGAATTTGCGATCCAGGATTCAAATTCCTTTCATATAAAGAAAAAAAAAATTGTAAATTTTGACTTTTTTCATAAATATCTACATCTTGAAACATTAGTTTTCAGACATTCTGTCTTGCATATACTTGATGAAATAGATCTTTCCCCTTTTAGCTTTCAAGCGCGCAATGCGTGACGATAGTTGATTATGAAACAACTTTGAGCTGCGATATCACTCTGCCGTTGGAAGTGATTTTTTCGTTGTAAGAAAAGCTTTCCGATTCTTTTGGCTTTTTTTTGTTGATCGTTAACTTAATCTAGAAACAAATCGCTCCTGAACATATATGGCGGAATCAACTACCGCAAGTCACGCATTGCGCACTTAAACGCCATGAAGGGGAAAGGTCTATTATAGTAGATATGAACATCCGTAATAGCGGAGGGCGAAAATTTATGTGAACATCGGAGATCTATTACAGTAGATATGAACATCCATGATTACGAAGGCGACATCTGCAAAAAGAAGCCATGCATGTAGCCGTGCCTGCATGCTATTTCCTATCATGCAAGAAAATCTTTTGTTAGCATTTTCTTTCCGAAGAAACACGCAGCGGAGTTACATACAGATATACAGATATGCAATAATAGTGATTCATTTTCATAATTTGCAGTCATCACACACTGTTTGAAACAGAAAAGATAAATGATATTGGCGTAGCCATGCAGAACTAGAATTTGGGGACCGATATTCATATATTCGTGATACGCAGGATTAAATTCTTTTCAAATCAATTGTCTTTACAGTCTGTTAACATATAAATATGTATATGGGCTCCACCCCAATTATCGATGCTGGCTGCTCCACTGAGTAAATGTCTATATTATATATCATTACTATATATATATAGTATATAAAAAATATGTGGAAACTGTTGGTTTACCTTGATCGAATTATTTTTGCGTCTATTCTGAATTTTCTTTACTATAAAAAAAAGGGAAAACGCAGCAAGGCAAATAAACACACCAGATCCTGCTACCGCCCCAATAATGGCCGTTGAGATGTTTTGACCACCCACGGCATTGTCCGTTGAAACAACTCGTGGATTCTCTGCACTCTTTGTTGGAACACCCTTCCGTCCCTCGATTGTTACGTTGTAAAGATAGACGGCTTCACCACTGATACCATTCTTATCAACACCTTGCACTTTAAAATTGTATAATCCAGGTTTTTCTAAAAAATGAAGGAAATGAATAGATGACTAGAAGATTTATTAGATCGATGACTAGAAGATTACTGGTCATAAGCAGTTTTCTCAGTTATGAGAAGTTTATATTTAGTCCCCATGAAATTGGCAATTAATAGGCATAGGAAACTGACAAAATTTCAAATTCGAAGTTCACACTAAACTTTGACTGTGCAAGAAGGGCATTGTTATATAGTTACATTTTTTTGATATCTAAAACGACGACGATCATCGTGCGCTGTTTCAATGCATTTTCACTTCGGTTGGTGTAAAGCGCATTGTTGTGAAAGTGATTGATTTCAACATTATTGCTTATACGAAATTTGTTTCAATATTTTAAAACCTTTTTGTATAACTTCTGTTGCAATTTCAGCTACGTTAAATAGTATAGTGCGTACTCACCAAAATCACATAAAAAAGGACTTGACTCAACTGGTTTTTGGAACAATAAGTCACTCTGATTTGTCCCCCAGGATACTATATAATGATCGACAATATTATTAGCAGCAATTTCTGGCTTCAGCCATGAAAGTGTTAAACTTTTTCCATGTACCACGACGGAGAAGTTTCTAGGTTCACTTGGTCCTATAAAAATAGATGTAAGAGTAAAGTCTGTAAATTGTGATGATCATGCAGTTTCTCCAAACTTTTTAAAATGAGATCCGCCATTTTCTTAGAAGAAAGGCAGAATTCAAAATAATTTATACGACTATGTACCTATAGAGTGTATCAGTAAGGAAAATTGAAATATTTTAAACCCAAATTAAAAATGGTAATGTCTATAATCCTTTGTTAAATGATTAGGAGTAGCATTAAATTAATAATTGCCAAAGATAAAAATATTATTTATTCTTAGCTTTCGGTACTAAAATTTTTGATGAGGGTTAACTGGCGACAAAACAGAAAAAATTGAAAACAAAATGTTCCCGCCGAACGCCACAACCAGTCAACACTTTATTCATAATTCAGTAATTATCGTGTTTTCGGACGTTTTACGGATCTACATACTATAGCTCTTCGGGTCAGCATTTTACTTGAAAGTTTATAATGAAGAATGAAGTCTTACCAAGAGGAGGTCGGGGACAGAAAGCGTAGACAATTCTGTCGTCCAACAGACCCAAATCATCAAATGATGATGTAAGCGTTTGACCAGCTGTTGATATATTTGTCAAGAATGGCACCGTTCTAACTTTTTGTTGACGGTTACCAACAGCAATCCCAACAATGATTATGCCTTTGTCTCTCAGTTTTTTTGCTTCAGCTATGGCGATGTCGTGCGGTTCTTCAACTTCTGACGACCTTGTCGTTGGTGGCCCATCAGTGAGCAGGATTATGACATCGTCTTTATCTTCTCGATGATTTAGTGAATTATTTCTCTTGAATATCTGTAAAATGATCAATCTATGTATATTTAGAGCCCTTATATAGACGCTATTATACACACTTTTTGTTATATTGCAAAGGAAAGCAGGTCACAAATTGATGGTTATTGATTTGGCCGCTATCCTTAAAAAAAATTGCATGCTTTTATCGTCGCAAACCATTAATATAAGACTAAAAACATACTTGATTTTAGGATGGCTCGATATAGTCAATATTTTAAATAGTACTGATAATTTGAGATATTCCCAGGACTATAATTTGATAGCATAATTTGTTTTTTTTCCAAAAAAAATGTTATTGACTTTTTTAAGATCATATAACTCATTGCATTTGTTTTGATATCATTATACAATTACTTAATGGTTTCCGTGTTTGGGTGGCCTGATCTAAACACGCGGGAGTGTTGCGAGAGTTAAGAAAAGCGCGCGAATTTAAATTTAAATTTTCTAAAACTTTACATTTCCGTGTTTGGATGGCCTGTTTCAAACACGGGCTTCGACCATGCAGTCAGAACACGCGTTATATACATGTTATTTTACAATTATACATTCACTGAATAAATGATTAGATTTGAAACCATAAACAATTTGACTTACCTCATTTGCTTTTAGTAAGGCTACATCTGTTCTTTTTAGATGATGACTTGTCCAAAAGGGATGGCGGAGCCCGATGATTCTGCTTACCAAATCCGTTTTATTCCGACTTTTCATTGATAATAGTACTTCAGTATATCCCTTGTCACTAAACGCCATGATTGAAATATGGCTTCCTTCTGGTGAGACATTCAGTTGAAGATTGTCGACAAGTACATGAAGAAAGACTTTACAGTACATAAAGTTTATGTGTTGAAGAAAAGCTGTATTATCAACAATAATCAAAATATCTTTAATGCATTTGCCTACAAAATTAGTAAAACGGCAAAATGATTAATCCAAAAGAGAGTGCACAAGTACCTCGAAGTACCAAATTATACTTAATTTGTTTGGAAAGAATATAAATTATTGCATTTATCAAAGATTGTTGGATTTAAAAGTGGGCACCTGTTCATATACAGGCGATTTTTCTTCTGATTTTAATGTAAAAAGTTAGATCTAACAGAAATTTGATTATATAGGTCATTAGCTGAGGCGCGTATTTTTGAGGCAAAGAAAATCCACGAGTTTTTAAAACCCTCAATTATATTCGCACGCAAAAAAAATTAGGCGAAAGTAAAAGAACAAAACAATAAAAAAATGGTGGGAGAACTTACTTGGAGTAGCTTTAGTTTTCCTTAGTTCTATAGTTTTGGATCGTTCTGTTATCTGCTTATTACAGCAAATATCCAGAGCTACGCAGATGAAACTAAACCTAGGATCGTTGGTGGATAAATAGTTGTCTAATGTTGCAATCCAAAAGGACGAAACTTTCCCAAATGTTGTGTAATTCAATTGTCGCACACTACCATTAACATCAGTTCGTTCCCAGTACATCTCTTGTATATCACCAGATGCATTACAGGTCAAAGTTAGTGGTCCTGGATGCGAATAATATCTCGGCCCAGTTATAAGACCAGAAAACTTAATATTCTTTGGTGTTGTTCGTCCGCATTCTGCAATGGAAAATAAGAAAAGTTTAGAGGAACTTGGGCAAGCGAAAGATATAGTTCGTATTCTAGTTCGTCTTTGTAAGTTCGTCGCGTAATGTAATTATAAGTACCGTATATATTAGGTTTACTAATGATTTCAGTTGCAACAGAAAAATCTGACTGTTGTTATAATTCAATATTCAATGGACTCGATCCCCTAAGATCGACAAGGACAGGGACACACGACACATGCACGACTATAGCTAGGGAAAGGTTTCGTAGCCAATTAATTTGGATGGAAAGGGTGCAATTCGTCATAAAAGAAAATGGTTCTTCGCCCCGTAAAGAGAGGAAATGTTTAATGCTGATCCAAATTAAAACTTTTGCAGGCTCATATTGTCAGAGGAAAACGTACATAAAATAGAGAGCAGTGGGTAAACGAAAAGCTTTTAATTTTTTGTTGCGAAGACCTGAAAAACCGAGCCCTCTGTATACAGGGAAAACATTTATAGAATTTACTGAATCATTGTATAGAGAGCGGTGCTGTGTAGATTGCATGTAACAGTACGATGACCCCAATCGTTCATTTGTTGATTTTGAAAACAATGTTTTATCATCAAGCATACCCGGTTGTTGCTTACAGACTCCATTAGCAGTCCGCGAGATCAAAGTGACGACCAAAAACATAAACCAAATATTAGAATAATGCATATGTTTCCTAAGAAAAGAAGCAAAAAATATGAAAAAAAAGTGTGCATATGATTGAAGTGAAACCGTCAATCAAATTAGAGAAGAAAAAAACAGATTTTGCATCAAATGTGTTGGCTAAAACTGGCAAATGTGACCGAGAGGACAAGTGGTGTTTTTAAAACGAAAGGATGATTCAAGTATCCAGGATCACGTTGCGAGGGAAAGCATAGAAACGGGCATGAAATTTCATAATTTTCCCTATAGACCTCTTTGCACACGGCGCATGGGTTTTGCGTGGAAAGCCTTGAAAGTATTTGAGTGGTTGTCGCAAAACTTCGGGTAAATTAATACCAAAGCCTGTCCGTTGGACCTGATGAGGAATACAGACAGTCGTGAACAAAAGACAAACAAGCAGCTACATGTTTACAGACACTGTCGTGACCACCAGGACAAAGAAAAAACAGATTCAACCGAGGTCTCATCTGTTATTGCTGTGATATCTATTGTTAGGCTTCTTAGATAATATTTTTTTCAATATTTTGCTGTCCGAACTTTTCCCGCGCTGCAAATTAGCCAATCAAATCTTTCCAAGCAAACCCACTCGCCGCGTGCGGAAAAATCTATTTGATGCCAGCTCGTGTTGATCACACGTAATCATGAAGATTTGAAGCCCTCCATGCATGACGCGTGCATTTCTTGTCCAATAGGAAAGCAAGAAAGATGAATTTTGACATTAGGTATAACACAATAAATTATAATATCATTCCAATATAATATCACACCAATGTAGAGCAAGTAGAGTTACAAAAGAATTTTTTTCGTCTAGCCGTCAAAAAGACCACTTAAAAATCCAAAGGTTAAAGGAATTTATCTTCAGTTCCAATGTCTTTCTGCTTTGTTATGCTTCGAGTCTTATGCTCATCACCCTGTGCTTATATCGATGCTTATGTCGCACGCCTCATTGCATTTCATCGTTTTGACATTTGCAAGCTAGTGTTTATTTCACTCGTGTGAACCACTGACTGAACCATGCTTTAGCTAACAAGGATGAATTTCGTTTTAACTAATCGCCATATTTGTTTATATTTTTCAAGCAAAGCCAATCAGTATTAGTACTTCATATAAAATTGTATATATTGTACTTTTTATCAAAATTTACGCATTCTGATTGGGTTACAGAAAATGTAAACAAGCTTGCTGGCTGCTAAAACGAAATTTTCCCTTGCTGCTTTAGGTCAGCCTTAGATATCGAACTTTTCATGTGCCGAACCAATTGTTAATAGCTAAAATCTCGGTTAGAATTCATTATAATTAATGAATTCCATTCGGCACAAACAATTGTCTTAAAATTTAGCCTTCTCCGAAAAGCTTTAGGAAGCATGTAAAAACGCTTATTGACGCTGACAGTCTATTGTGAATGTCGTATAAAGTGCCTTTACTATGTCTTTAAAGACTCATCCTCAACAAAGATATATGAACAACAATGCATGACCGCCAGCTCCGTGCATGTGCGTTTTTTTTTTCCAGCGTTCAGAGCCTTTTGATTTCGAGACAAAGGTCCTCTAACTGCTCTTCAAGTGTTGAAGAGGGTCCGGCAAACAGTTGTTATAGCTGTATTTTTTCACACTCACAGTCATATAGTAATACTGATGAACTAAAGTATTCAGAAACATCGATGCCTGCTGATAAAGGTCGTCAGTGTATGAGGAAAAAGTTAATTATGACACATGTTAAAATTAATAGCATGAATAATTCTTGGGAATAAGCTACTTGTTAAAGACGGGTAAACACACATTAGTCAACCTTAACCTTAATATTCGCTGCGTTATGTTTAAAAAGAATCGCTATCTCAGAGACTCGCTATCTTTGATGGATAAGGCTAAGAAATACATATATAATTTAGTTTTATTAGCAAGAGTATAATTATAGCGATATCAGATAATATATAATCATTCATGATGATTATTTTATAAACAACGTATTGTGAGAACCGGACGAGTGCTAACTAACAAAAATAAATATTTTAGTTATACATACATTCTGGTTTGGCTTTCGGCCGATGGCCAGAGCTTGATCCTTGTTGAGTAATAACCTGAGTTAAAATAGCTCGGTGGTGCAAATGCTGTTTCCAGTGTAATATTATTAAATGTGTTTTGCTTTCATCATTTCACAAGCTTGTTGTTCTGATGCGGCTACAATAATTTACATAACACATTCACGCAATTTAGTGGCATGATTGACATAATCAAGAGGGCATTTGACATGGAGAACAGTAGATCCACAACCGGATTTTCATCTTTCTTAATCGTCATAACTCACTTCTGGCCAATGTTAATTTATTTGGGTCGAATTAGCACGCGCGAATTACGACTTTAATTTTAAAAGTACCACAGCCAACAAAACCAGTGGTTGTTGTAAACAATGTCATCAGATCTCTGCGATCTTTTCCAGCAACGCAGAACAGAGGGGACATTTTTCTGCGCATGCGCTAGTAGGAAATGGCGTGGAATACACGAGAGGCGCGATTTTCGCGGGTATTGTGGCGGGAAATTTGCTTGCATGCCTAAATAAATTTACAGTGATATAAAAAAGTAATAACATTTTCAACAGGTGTTTTAACATTGATAAACAAACACTTGCACGGAGAGCAGTTTTGATGTTCCAGCCAAATGACTGAATTATTAGTATTGTGACATCATCGAATATTTTTTCTTGTGAAATATGCAAGTGCAATTTAGCTGTCTTTAAAGTCGTATTTTCGAATTTTTCATGGTAGAGAAACTAGTTTTAGTAACAGATAATATTTTCAGCTTTAAAAATAAGCATAAATTGGTGATATAGCTAGGCTATTTTTTTTGCAAAACGCGATACAGTGCTCGAAAAAGTACTTGTTTTGTTTATAAACAAAAGCCTAAAATAAATTCAGCACGCTTCAATATTTAGGAATCACGCTTATTACTATTATCTTAAAGATAGACATTTAACTTAGTGCAGTTCGTTTAGAATTCGTCCTGCAGTACAAACAAGAAATCGAAAATCATACTAAAATGAAACGGAACGAACGTTCAGATGCTCTACAAAGATCGCCACTTTACCGAATTTTCCTCCAATTGATCATAGTGCAATTAAGTCAAGAATTATAAATACTTCAATATATAAGAATAAACAATGTGTTGATAAAGGCTGGATTTTGAGTAAAATACAAATATAATATTATGTTGTCTACACGTTAGAAGCGATAATTTGAAGCAACCGGTTTGAATTTGCGACCCACCCCTCAATCTTTACACTAAGTTTCAGTCTAAAATTATACATGCATGTGGACAACGTACCTTATGAAATGCTAACTATATTCACATTTTCTTAAGACGGACATCGGCAAATCGTATACCCACATATGATCTGGCTCGTGAAGGCTCTAGCTTTATTTACATTGCATTTTAGAAGCTTAAAAGACATTTGAATGTGTTGCCCAACGCATTGAAGGCCCTTATTTTCTTTTAGCTCTTGCTGTATGATACAATATTATACGAATATTAAATATTTAACTATATTGAACTAATTGGCGTCGCAAGCATCTCAAGTGGGTTATATTACTATACCTGCATTAATGCCATATGCATATTGTCTGTTTCGAATTAAGCCAGACAAAATCAACAGAAAACTGTCCACGCCTAACCGCTTATGGTCCTGTATTTTTTGCAATGAATAAACTGAATATACCACACACAAAGACAAGATAAACTCAGATTAATTCAAATATAACATGCATGCACTAGTAACTGTAGTCAAAGAAAACAACTAAATAGGAGCTTTACTGAATGCGACTTTAGACATGCAGATGAGGCCTGAACATTTGCTTGGGATTATATATTTTTGTATTATATCAATTAATATATCTTATGAACAACCATAAAATTCGACTTTCATCGAGATATGTTCATTCTCGTAACAATGATTGCAGAATTTTTTTTTTTTGTTTCTGAACCACTCGTTATCATTTATCACAAGTTATGATAAGCTCACGCGTGTCTATTTGTGGCAACGACGATGATGTTGTGACGTTATTATAGAAAGGGTCTATTAGTAGTTTCCCGCATGTCTTTTCAGGTATACAAAGTTGCATGTTATATTGAATATTGAAAGGGAATTTTACATCTGGAATGCGATACGTTCCTAGCCACAAGGCAAATTGCAACCCGAAACGCGTATATATTTCATGTACTTACTATTTTCACAATGTTTTCCTTTGTACATCGGGAATATTATTTACACAAGAAATAAAAGCTTTTTCGATGCAAATCAAGGTCCCATTATTTAGGCATTCAATCACTTCGTTTTTGAAGCTTGCGTGAAGATTTTCTTTTTTATAATACTTTATAAAATAGAAAAAAATATAAAACTCATATAAAAACCTAAAATCATTTATCATTATTATATGACAAGTATATATCTGTATATATTATATCACTTCCGGTAAAATGGAGCTCAGTGATTGGCAGAGAAAATTTTCAGGGGTCCATTACTTTCGCGTAATGGACCCGCACTTTTCCGTAATGGACCGGCACTTTCCCGTAATGGACCGGCACTTTTCCGTAATGGACCGGCACTTTCCCGTGATGGACCCGCACTTTTCCGTAATGGACTGGCACTTTTCCGTAATGGACCGGCACTTTCCCGTAATGGACCGGCACTTTTCCGTAATGGACCGGCACTTTCCCGTGATGGACCCGCACTTTTCCGTAATGGACTGGCACTTTCGCGTAATGGACCGGCACTTTCCCGTGGCTATCTTTAAAAGGGGGAACGAGGAATCGGGGAATGGGGGAATCGGGGAATGGGGGAATCGGGGAATGGGGGAATCGGGGAATGGGGGAATCGGGGAATGGGGGAATGGGGGAATCGGGGAATCGAGGAATCGGGGAATGGGGAAATCGCGATATAAAAATGTGATATTTCATTATTATTATTAAATACGACAAATATTAAATACGACGAGCATCGTACGACGAGTCTTTAACTTCTTTTACAACAACTTCCCGGCGATTGTTATATTTGCCGAGATATACAACGCCAAACGTCCCGCTTCCAAGCTTCTTACACTTTGCAAAACACTCCCAATCGAAAGTTGCAAGGCCGTCAATTTTTTTTTTTCTTTCTTTTTGCTAAGCTGTTGTATTTTAAAGCTTCCTGCCATTTTGGCTAGGAAAACGTGTGCTCTATTTTATGTCAATCATGCATGCAAACACCTTTAGCCAATCGGAAGCTTTCAAATTTATTCTAAATATTTGGAAGACCTTCAGTTCTTGAAACATTAATTAAGAATAAGCCATGGAACGGGAAAGCAAACAAGTCGTATTAAAGGCTATGTAGCCTAGGCTTGGAACCACCCTATTGATGGTGTTACAAAAGGCCACATGGTACAATTTAACTGTGCAAAGAACTATCTTGCAGTGTGTAAACGCCATCAATGTCTACTCAAATCAAAGTTCGCCAGTTCAGTTCTAGTTTACAAGAAGATTGAGCTTTATTCAAACGGCTTTTTATTCCCTCTGAGAGCCGCTTTTCAGGCTATTCCGACCCTTTATCGCGTTTTTTATCTCAATGAATCGCATTTTCCCTTTATCTCATTTTCAGTTTCCCCGATTCCCCCATTCCCCGATTCCCCCATTCCCCGATTTCCCGATTCCCCCATTCCCCGATTCCCCGATTCCCCCATTCCCCGATTCCCCCATTCCCCCATTCCCCCATTCCCCGATTCCCCCATTCCCTGGTTCCCCCATTCCGCGATTCCCCCATTCCCCCATTCCCCGTTCCCCCTTTTAAAGATAGCCCTTTCCCGTAGTGGACTGGCACTTTTCCGTAATGGACCGGCACTTTTCCGTAATGGACCGGCACTTTCCCGTAGTGAACCGGTCACTGAGCTATATAATAGAGAGGTTAAGATACCCCGGTTCCGGTGTACGGGTACGGGTATCGCCATCTTGTTTACTATTTTTTGCTGATGTCAGCAAATTTACCCGTAATATCTTCCCGTTTTCCCGCGGTAGAAAGGCATTTACCCGTCGATAAAAACGAGTAAAGTTTTTCAACGTTTTTGAGATGGAAAAGCGGGTATGTATATATTTTATTATCGTTAAAGTATAGATAGATAATCTATCATTGATAGTTCAGTGAGGGAGGGATAGGTCGGGGCAAAGAAAATAAAAAAATTTAGAAGTCTAACACCTGACGAAGATCCTTCGCTCGAAATGTCGACGTTTCTCAATATTTTTTCCAGTTATCTATCTTTATATTCATGCAAAAGGCTGATGTTTAAAAAGGGCAATTGTTACTGTTGTAAAGTAACTGTGCCAAAGTTATTGATAATGGTTTCATTAGTAATTCATTAACAGCTTTTTTCATTCCTCTTTATAAATACTATAGACAATGTTTAGATGGCATGCTTGTCACGATGTGGACTTGTTAAGGGAAGTGGTCTCTGCTCGACCAAAGTCTACCAATGACTGGAATTTAATTGCAGCTAACCTCCAACATGCATGGGGTGATACAGTTCAAACTGTAATTAAAGGCCGTTCGTGCAAAGAGCACTTTGAAGTGCTTTTAGCACACCACAAAGTTGGTAATGCTGCTGCACTAAAGAAGTAATAATATCTTTCTATATATAATATATAATATATTCATCTGTCAATTATATATATTGTGCACAAGTTAACAACTGAAGTTGAATGCACCTGGATATAACTATTTTGTTATTCCTATTATTTTTTCTTAGATCAGGCACTGAAGAACAGTATGGTGAAATTGAGCAATTATTGGATGACATATCTGCATTTATTGATGATATGCAAAAGGCCACAACAACCAAAAGAAAGAAAGATGAATTTGATAGAAAGAATGCAGAAATGTTTCGAGATGCTGCTATGCTTTCAATGAGAGAAAGTAGGTTATAAAGATGCAATCCTAAGCTGAGTGGTTAAAAAATTGCTTTTGTTTGGGGCAAACATGCAGGGCTGCAAATAAATTTTGGAGGGGGTATGGAAGGGGGGTAGTTAATATTAAAACAGCTTTTTAAGGCATCACCATTAATATTTTGCATACATTCAGGCCCAGAGTACCCCCCCCCCATCCCTTTGAATGGTCCTGGTGGCATATTTTATTTTGGCATATATGGTTATATTTTTTTAAAAGAACAACCAAACAATAGTGACACTGAAGATGAGGATGCTGCAAATGAAAGTGAGCTCTCAACTAATAAAGGCAAGTCTATAGTTTCTCTTCTAACCTTACCATATTAATAATTACCATATACTAAAAATACAATGCTTACCAGTTCACACTTTGTGCTATTGTAAATGATAGGTAAGAAAAGAAAAAGAATCAACAAGTCTGATCTTGTTACATACCTGTCACAGAAGAGCGAGGCAACTAATGAAATGAAGGAAAAGGAGCTAGAGTTTCGAAACCATGCATTGGAGATTGAAACTGAATTAAAAAGAGAAGAAATGGCATTAGAAAAGAAAAGATTAGAAGTTCAAGAAAAGCAAATTGCAATACAGTTTGAAATGTTAAAATCGTTCATGAGCAAGTTCTCAAAAGAAGATTAAATGTTAATTATTTTATTTTATTGTTAACACTTAGAGAGCATTCATAACTTCTGTGGTATGGGGCTATGTATTTACATTTCACACTAATGTACTAGAAGTACAGCAACTGACTGTCAGGAAACACTAGAAATGAATAAAGATCTACAAATTTTGTTGATTCTCCTAATTTTTCCCAGAAAACATCTGCCCCCCCATTCAAATCTTCATAGCCCTTGCCAAATAAATTATCAATGTTCATGTTTACACACGTTTATTGTAAATGCTTTTCTCTGTTATAAAATAATTTGCTAGCACCACATTAATGAAAATTATGTTAGAGTGACGCCGTTAAATTATTAAAAATGAATCGTTCAACTTATTGCGTATAATTACAGACTTTAATTTAATGACCCAAATAATTTTGGAGATCAGGGGGAGCCAAATTAAAAAATCTTGATGTGGTGCTGCCATAAAGGCATGTATGGCAGTTTATTAGAATGGCACCCACAACGTAGTACATGCCAATTGGTTGTAAAAGTACCTTAAGGTTCTTTTTGAAATCGAGGAAAGCAAAGTACTGAACCAGTTTACCAAATGTCCACTCAACTGATACACGTAGTTTACTCATGGATTTGTTGAAACTTTGTTGATCTCTTGTTACTGCTGCTCCTCTATATGGTGCAAGTAAATGTGGTCGAAGTGGGTATGCTGGATCTCCGTACAATGTAAATATTTGGGGTGGTCTAAATAAATCTTCAAGCTTAGGTAACAATTTGCTCTCATGCAGCATAAATGCATCATGGTGTTTCCCAGCAATTGGACCATATAAGTTGGAAATAAGTCCATTAGGACAAACAACACTCTAAAGAATAAAAATATTCATTTTGAAATTACATTACAATATAAATAATATTATGGCTAAACAAAGACAAAAGCTCAAAATTAATTAATTAAATGGCAGTAAACATAAAACCTATGAGTGAAACCTGAAATTTTAAACCGTGTACACGCTTATGTCCAGAGAAGAGAATTCTTTGGTTTCTTATTGGTCTGCAGCATGGCCGCAACGTTCCATCGATGAATCCCCAGCAATTTTTAATAGGACTTCCGGAATCATGAATAGCTCTAGCAAATACATCAACTTGAATCCAGTTTTGATCAAGCTCTTCAAGCAGGTAATGATACCGTTCATAAATGTCATTGAGAATCTAGAGAAAATATTATCAAACACAACTCAAATAAAGATCTGATGGTAATGCTCTGAGGCCAGTAGTATACATGGTGTCTCAGTAGCCGAAGCCAGCATTTCAGAATCCTATTTGACTTTACCTGATGGACAATCATACTAAGTTCTGGTTCGGGTCTTCCAAACAAGAAACATAAATCTGAAAGGCGATTTGGATATGTTAGCCGTCTCAGCAATATTAAGAACGCCTCCAATCCACTAGCAACAGTTCCGTTTGGACACTTATAAAATGCAGGGATAGAAAAATGCAACAATAATTGGTGAATATCGTTCTTGGCAAATCTGCAACAAAATTTAAAGCAATCATAAGATATGAATGTAAGGATATGGTTTAATACATCGGAGCCATTTGTTCCGTAGTCAAATAGTTTACTATGATGCAGTCAATGACATACCTGAACAAATTAATGCACGCATTTTCATCAATTTTATCCAAATCTATTGTAAATGACAAATGGCTTTGTGGTTCGTTCATAATATAAAATGCTAAGATACTTTCAATATCTTCCTCAAAACTTTCATCCTCATCGTCCTCAGCAGCAAGACAAAACAATAAATCATCCAACTGTCTCCTGCAAGAATACAATTATAAAATATTTAATCTGTTTTGAGGAAAATAACAATAAAAAGGTATAACAACGTCAAATAAATATTTACCTTTCTTGGGCTGCCGCCATGTTTGTTTTTTACCCGGATTCCGAAACGAACGGGAATCTTAACCGGAATTTCTTACCCGGTTTACGACTACGGGTACGGGTAAAATACTCGCACCCGTACACCGGAACCGGGGTATCTTAACCTCTCTAATAATTCCTGGAGGACCGGCTCGCTGCCAAATCGTGTCCGCAAAACTGACATGGCGGATTTTGAGCTTTGCTGACGCCACATGGTTCCTTTTTCTCATGGTAGTTACCACTGACATACCGCGATACAAGGTGAAAAACTGTGTCCATCTCCCTCGTGGTTTTTATGAAAATATTTTCGGCTTTCGGTATGTATTTTTTGTATTTCATATAAATCTTCTTTTTTCCTGTTCAACAAATGGAAAGGAGACGTAGCTTTGTGCTCTATATGTCTGACGTTTTGAATGGCTTAATTCACTTATCGGGGGAATGATTTTTCTCATTCGGCTGTTATTTTATGGCATCCAGGTAAGCCGGTTTTTATAACAATTTCAGTTTTTTGCCTTTGGACTCGAATATAAACTGATTACCAAAGGTAATCCATATAAATCCATCAAAACTTATGGTACAAACAGCAAATATACTATTTTAGACCTTTGGTACATGTGCAATGTTATGTACTCAAACTTTATCATTTTCTTGACTTGTGTGGGGAAGGAATTAAATTCCTTGCAATGTCAATCTTTGAGTTTGGTCTATTTTGTTTTCATGATAGCAAACAATATTATATAATTGTAAATAGGTAAACCTTCCCCCCAGTGAGTCTATTAGATTTAAGCAATAATTAATATGATCTGACTGACAAAAGTGTGGAGTGGGTGCTGATACAAAGTAATAAGATTTTTGCTGCAAACAGTGTAAATTTCAACCTCTGATGATGGTGACTGTTAAAACCTAGTTAATATATTATCTTGTACAAGAAACGTTTGCCTTGTCAAATTCAAATCAATTATCATGGCTTATAATTAATTGATTTTTTAACTTCTTGCACCTTGTGAATAAATCTTGATCAGATCTCCATTTATATTTTTCAGGATGAGGATGCTATGAAATAAAGCAAGCTAGAGATGGCTTATTAATTGTCATGCAATTTGTTGGAACATTGAACTGAGATGTATGAAGCACATTATACACATTGTTATGAATCTGCATTGTTATCCTTGATTACCATGTTATCTGATTTTGTTGTGTGGCTGGTATTTTTATAACCATTGTTATATTTATAAAAGAAATAAATTTAAACATGCATTGTGTGAGCAGTGTATCTTCAATCTGCAGCCACTTTTATAATTTTCTGTTTATGGTATCAAACTCAAGAGGGCTAAATTCAATGGGCTAATCAGGAGTGATTGAGTCTATGGAGGGATGAATATTATTCATTAATAAGACCAGGGGTCCAGGGGGGCAATTAGATAATATTGAAAATTTTATAGCCCATTGAGGTACAATTAAGCTGATGAAATAACCTTAATGAAAAGTATATTATGCAAATATGACTCATGGTTGAAACTATATTCTTGCACTTAGTCAGCTGCCAAGCATCTTGCCCCGGAGCTTTGGCCTCTGTTTCTTTGGATTATACCTAGATATATTGTTCTGAAGACATTCAAGACCATTCAAAAAAACATTATTAATTGCATACTTTCAGTAATTCTGCTGTTCATGCAGGGTTCAAAAAAGTCTAATTGATGTCCATAAATATCAGTGCCAAAAAGTTCCAGCATTTGTTACAGGAATGTAGAAATAATGAAAATATAAAAAAAAACACCTGTCAGTTCGTGTCAGAATTAAAATCTTCAATTTTGTCCACAATTTTTTGACGTTTTAATATATATTTGTTCTTGCGTTGGCAATAACAGCGTCTACGACTTGTATTCATCTTAAAAAAACGCTTTATATTTCAAAAAAATGCAATTAATGATGTTTTCATGACTTTATATTTCAAAAAAACAAAACGGGAAATTTTTTTTATAAAGGCCAGGGGGGAGAACCAGTTGTTTAATAAATCCAGGGGGGAGAACACCCTTGTAACGGGCTCATAATTGAGCCCGGTCAGTGGTAACTACCATGGCCAAAAGGAACCATGTGGCGTCAGCAGAGCTTCTGCGGTTGCGCAGAAGGGCGAAGTCCGCCATGTTTTTGCGGACAGAAAGATGGCGGCGAAGTTACCGAAAAATGACGAGCCGGTCCTCCAGGAATTATTATAGCTCAGTGGAACCGGTACTTTCCCGTAATGGACTGGCACTTTTCCGTAGTGGACCGGCACTTTCCCGTACTGGACTGGCACTTTCCCGTAATGGACTGGCACTTTTCTTTCCGTAGTGGACCGGCACTTTCCCGTAATGGACTGGCACTTTCCCGTAATGGAGCGGCACTTTTCCGTAATGGACCGGCACTTTCCCGTAATGGACTGGCATTACGAGATAAAAAAAAAATCTAAATGAATAAGGTAAAAATAAATAGTCAGGAAATTAATTGCTATTGAAATGGATAAGACGTCTCCAGAAAATTTAGGTAAACTAAACAATTCATTGTTTTGTTTTTGTTTTTATCGAATGCGTACCAGGCTACGAGTACGAATATATGCATTTCTTGTTTGTTTCAAGTAAAATACATGACTTCTTATGCCATATAATGCCATGTAAAAAGCGATATGAAAGCATTCTTACAAAGTGACTTCTGTCCACATTGGACTTGTAAAACATCCACACTTGTTCTTCCTTTGCAACTTCATGTTTGTCAAACTCATGCTCAGTTGTGTTTGTTTGTTGTTGGTTGACAGTTGATCTTCTTTTTTTTTCTTTGAGACACTTTGCTAAGGCCATAGACAGGGAAGATAAATAAATCACACCTACTGATCTAGTTATTCACTCGCTGTTTGATCTTGTTAAAATGCTAAATCTAATATTACAGCACGGATAAAATATCTTTAGAGAATAACAATTCATAACGTGATTACGATTTTGAGTTCTCACTCAATTTCGAGTGATTACCAAAAAGCTAAGCCTATGGGATCGTTGTTAGATATAAAAAAAATATAGAAAAACCGTGAGAACAACTTCATTATTCTCATAATTCTGAGCCATATTTGATAGAAACGGTTTCTTCAAGCGGACATCATTTTACATCATCTTTTTTCTCATCCATGAGCTCAACCTCAGCTGGGTTGATCGATAAACAAAGCTTTCCATCCTTTAGTTGCTTTACATTGATGTAAGATTTCTACGGAAAAAAAATACTTAAAAGGCTAAAGATGAAAAAGTGAAAAACATAGTTATTACGCGGTTAGGGTAGTCATTTAAATGTAAATTTTTGGACTAAGTCTAAGAGTTCAGCTATTTGTTTAATTACACCATGCATGTTGATAAATTGCCGAAAGATTTCTCGCGTTAAAATTATCACGCATATATTTGGGCTGCCTATGGTTGAATTGTAATATTTTTTCCCAAACGGCAATTGAAGATGAAGTCATGGATAAAAAGACAGAATCTTCGAGGTTTAGCTTATAATACCAACCTGCACACATGCATGACTGTAAAATTATGATAACCTTTACCTCATCGTTAATCATCAAATCATGAAGACGTTGGCGGATTTCAGAGAATGTTGGTCGTTTCTTCGCATTAACCTTCCAACAGTTTGACATTATTTCGTATCTGAGTAAAGAAACCGATGCATTAAACGTTTTTACTATATGGCAAGCGTCACTTCCGAAGAAAGTAATTAGCTGAGAAGAATTTTCGGATATTCATTACTTCCAGGATTCAAGTACAATGCCAGCTGCTAATTGGCTATTGAACAAACGTTATAAATATGTACCAATGAGCAGCTAGCGTTGTACTTGAAAACTATCACGAATTTCAAGTCGATCGTATCCCGCATAAAGACAAGAAAAATTACGGCAAAACATCTTAAATTTTTTAATACTTAAGAGTATTTGAAGGAGTATTTTTTAGGGGGGAAAAGTCACCTAGTTGTCAGTAAAGTTATCCGTGCTTATATTTATAATAGTTTTTACGGCTTTTGTAACGGAGTTTTGATATTTTCGGACATGTTTGTTTATAGAATAGTGAGCAAGACTTTCCTACCTTAGGAAAATATATGTAGCATATTGATAATTGATTATGCATTACGTCATAGCAATGCGAAATTTAAAAAATGCAAATCGTATTCTTGGGATGCCTATGGACCGACTCTTTTCCGTAATGGCCCAGCCTTACCGGCGTCATTACGAGATTCTGAAAGAAATGCTTAAGAGAAAATTTATAGCTTTTGAAATTAATAAGATGTCTCCAGACGGTTTAGGTATACTCAACAATTAATGCACTATTTTGTTTTTGATTTTATTAAATGCGTACTAAGCTACGAATTCGTGCATTTCTTGTTTGTTTCAAATGCAAATACATGACTTATGGCTAAATATGGCATATGATATAAACTCTTTATAATTATCTTCGCTAATGTCGTTAAGCACACGCTCTAGATTTCGTCAGGTTCTGCGTGGAAGAATACGCTTGTCCGGCATTTTTCTGTGGAGTCTTTATGAAAATATTATTTGGCCTTTATCGTATAAATGGCCGAAAAATCAATGGGGAAGTAACACGTTTTTGCATTTTCATCAAACAAATAACATCGTGCGTCGCATAAATTCACACCTCGAACTTTATTAAACGTAATTAAGGAAGCATTGTATGCACAATATGCGTTTTAAAGGCCCGCATGGGTAGCTAAATTCGGGTTTCCTAAAAAATAAGCTAGGCCCTAGTAAGGCATAAACAAAAGCAAGCAGAGTAACCAACTTACATTTCACTTGAGCAGTGAGGTGGTTTCATCATTCGGCATCCAGATCCGACATGATTGATTATGTTATACGGTGATATCGCCTTGTATGGCTCTTCACCTGAAAAATATAAGAAATTGAGGAAATTTGCAGGTACAGTCGTTTTGTCATTGATTTCATGGTTTTGTTTTCCAGCAATAAAAATGATGGCTTTTATTCCTTGCATGGCGACTTTTCCATCGACTGATAAAGACAGAGATATAAAAAATTTGCAAATTGAATTGAAATGTTCAAAGCCACTATAAAAGCTTGTATTCAAAAGTTCACTCACACTCAGTAGCTTAGCCTGCCTGACGATTTGTCCGCTATGCTAATATTTGGTGATCATTGACTGTAAAAACAATAAATGCAGCCACTTTTATAATTTTCTGTTTATGGTATCAAACTCAAGAGGGCTAAATTCAATGGGCTAATCAGGAGTGATTGAGTCTATGGAGGGATGAATATTATTCATTAATAAGACCAGGGGTCCAGGGGGGCAATTAGATAATATTGAAAATTTTATAGCCCATTGAGGTACAATTAAGCTGATGAAATAACCTTAATGAAAAGTATATTATGCAAATATGACTCATGGTTGAAACTATATTCTTGCACTTAGTCAGCTGCCAAGCATCTTGCCCCGGAGCTTTGGCCTCTGTTTCTTTGGATTATACCTAGATATATTGTTCTGAAGACATTCAAGACCATTCAAAAAAACATTATTAATTGCATACTTTCAGTAATTCTGCTGTTCATGCAGGGTTCAAAAAAGTCTAATTGATGTCCATAAATATCAGTGCCAAAAAGTTCCAGCATTTGTTACAGGAATGTAGAAATAATGAAAATAAAAAAAACACCTGTCAGTTCGTGTCAGAATTAAAATCTTCAATTTTGTCCACAATTTTTTGACGTTTTAATATATATTTGTTCTTGCGTTGGCAATAACAGCGTCTACGACTTGTATTCATCTTAAAAAAACGCTTTATATTTCAAAAAAATGCAATTAATGATGTTTTCATGACTTTATATTTCAAAAAAACAAAACGGGAAATTTTTTTTATAAAGGCCAGGGGGGAGAACCAGTTGTTTAATAAATCCAGGGGGGAGAACACCCTTGTAACGGGCTCATAATTGAGCCCGGTCAGTGGTAACTACCATGGCCAAAAGGAACCATGTGGCGTCAGCAGAGCTTCTGCGGTTGCGCAGAAGGGCGAAGTCCGCCATGTTTTTGCGGACAGAAAGATGGCGGCGAAGTTACCGAAAAATGACGAGCCGGTCCTCCAGGAATTATTATATAGCTCAGTGGAACCGGTACTTTCCCGTAATGGACTGGCACTTTTCCGTAGTGGACCGGCACTTTCCCGTACTGGACTGGCACTTTCCCGTAATGGACTGGCACTTTTCCGTAGTGGACCGGCACTTTCCCGTAATGGACTGGCACTTTCCCGTAATGGAGCGGCACTTTTCCGTAATGGACCGGCACTTTCCCGTAATGGACTGGCATTACGAGATAAAAAAAAAATCTAAATGAATAAGGTAAAAATAAATAGTCAGGAAATTAATTGCTATTGAAATGGATAAGACGTCTCCAGAAAATTTAGGTAAACTAAACAATTCATTGTTTTGTTTTTGTTTTTATCGAATGCGTACCAGGCTACGAGTACGAATATATGCATTTCTTGTTTGTTTCAAGTAAAATACATGACTTCTTATGCCATATAATGCCATGTAAAAAGCGATATGAAAGCATTCTTACAAAGTGACTTCTGTCCACATTGGACTTGTAAAACATCCACACTTGTTCTTCCTTTGCAACTTCATGTTTGTCAAACTCATGCTCAGTTGTGTTTGTTTGTTGTTGGTTGACAGTTGATCTTCTTTTTTTTTTCTTTGAGACACTTTGCTAAGGCCATAGACAGGGAAGATAAATAAATCACACCTACTGATCTAGTTATTCACTCGCTGTTTGATCTTGTTAAAATGCTAAATCTAATATTACAGCACGGATAAAATATCTTTAGAGAATAACAATTCATAACGTGATTACGATTTTGAGTTCTCACTCAATTTCGAGTGATTACCAAAAAGCTAAGCCTATGGGATCGTTGTTAGATATAAAAAAAATATAGAAAAACCGTGAGAACAACTTCATTATTCTCATAATTCTGAGCCATATTTGATAGAAACGGTTTCTTCAAGCGGACATCATTTTACATCATCTTTTTTCTCATCCATGAGCTCAACCTCAGCTGGGTTGATCGATAAACAAAGCTTTCCATCCTTTAGTTGCTTTACATTGATGTAAGATTTCTACGGAAAAAAATACTTAAAAGGCTAAAGATGAAAAAGTGAAAAACATAGTTATTACGCGGTTAGGGTAGTCATTTAAATGTAAATTTTTGGACTAAGTCTAAGAGTTCAGCTATTTGTTTAATTACACCATGCATGTTGATAAATTGCCGAAAGATTTCTCGCGTTAAAATTATCACGCATATATTTGGGCTGCCTATGGTTGAATTGTAATATTTTTTCCCAAACGGCAATTGAAGATGAAGTCATGGATAAAAAGACAGAATCTTCGAGGTTTAGCTTATAATACCAACCTGCACACATGCATGACTGTAAAATTATGATAACCTTTACCTCATCGTTAATCATCAAATCATGAAAGACGTTGGCGGATTTCAGAGAATGTTGGTCGTTTCTTCGCATTAACCTTCCAACAGTTTGACATTATTTCGTATCTGAGTAAAGAAACCGATGCATTAAACGTTTTTACTATATGGCAAGCGTCACTTCCGAAGAAAGTAATTAGCTGAGAAGAATTTTCGGATATTCATTACTTCCAGGATTCAAGTACAATGCCAGCTGCTAATTGGCTATTGAACAAACGTTATAAATATGTACCAATGAGCAGCTAGCGTTGTACTTGAAAACTATCACGAATTTCAAGTCGATCGTATCCCGCATAAAGACAAGAAAAATTACGGCAAAACATCTTAAATTTTTTAATACTTAAGAGTATTTGAAGGAGTATTTTTTAGGGGGGAAAAGTCACCTAGTTGTCAGTAAAGTTATCCGTGCTTATATTATAATAGTTTTTACGGCTTTTGTAACGGAGTTTTGATATTTTCGGACATGTTTGTTTATAGAAGTGAGCAAGACTTTCCTACCTTAGGAAAATATATGTAGCATATTGATAATTGATTATGCATTACGTCATAGCAATGCGAAATTTAAAAAATGCAAATCGTATTCTTGGGATGCCTATGGACCGACTCTTTTCCGTAATGGCCCAGCCTTACCGGCGTCATTACGAGATTCTGAAAGAAATGCTTAAGAGAAAATTTATAGCTTTTGAAATTAATAAGATGTCTCCAGACGGTTTAGGTATACTCAACAATTAATGCACTATTTTGTTTTTGATTTTATTAAATGCGTACTAAGCTACGAATTCGTGCATTTCTTGTTTGTTTCAAATGCAAATACATGACTTATGGCTAAATATGGCATATGATATAAACTCTTTATAATTATCTTCGCTAATGTCGTTAAGCACACGCTCTAGATTTCGTCAGGTTCTGCGTGGAAGAATACGCTTGTCCGGCATTTTTCTGTGGAGTCTTTATGAAAATATTATTTGGCCTTTATCGTATAAATGGCCGAAAAATCAATGGGGAAGTAACACGTTTTTGCATTTTCATCAAACAAATAACATCGTGCGTCGCATAAATTCACACCTCGAACTTTATTAAACGTAATTAAGGAAGCATTGTATGCACAATATGCGTTTTAAAGGCCCGCATGGGTAGCTAAATTCGGGTTTCCTAAAAAATAAGCTAGGCCCTAGTAAGGCATAAACAAAAGCAAGCAGAGTAACCAACTTACATTTCACTTGAGCAGTGAGGTGGTTTCATCATTCGGCATCCAGATCCGACATGATTGATTATGTTATACGGTGATATCGCCTTGTATGGCTCTTCACCTGAAAAATATAAGAAATTGAGGAAATTTGCAGGTACAGTCGTTTTGTCATTGATTTCATGGTTTTGTTTTCCAGCAATAAAAATGATGGCTTTTATTCCTTGCATGGCGACTTTTCCATCGACTGATAAAGACAGAGATATAAAAAATTTGCAAATTGAATTGAAATGTTCAAAGCCACTAAAAGCTTGTATCAAAAGTTCACTCACACTCAGTAGCTTAGCCTGCCTGACGATTTGTCCGCTATGCTAATATTTGGTGATCATTGACTGTAAAAACAATAAATTTCTAAAGAAATTTCTGATAATTATAATAACTTGAAATTTACATAGCGGGACAAAATCGTCTGGCTGGCTACGCTACTGCTCACATTCAGTGTGAGATTGAAATTTTTTCATTACTGATTTTAAAATGAGAACATTCTGTATAAATTAGCGATAGGATCCAAGGAAAAATACTGAAAATCAAGTTCCTATATTTGAGTGGAAATACCGCTATGGAAATGAGCCGTGTGAGTGAGCTCCTAATACGGGCGTAAGTCTCGTTCAACTCTCAATAATACTTCGTACCTGGAGTGCACACCCTTCCCCAAAAGAGCGTAGCGCAATTGAATTTTATCTTTTTAAAGAATCACGACTTAAAAATAGATTTCATGCATATTTTTTCCGCATTTAATATTCTCGATATGTTTCAGTATACAAACTATTCATTAACTTCGTCTATACAATGACACATACCCAAAGTCACGATTTCATAAAGAAGGACGCCAAAACTCCATCTATAAATTCAAAAACGCTGATTATAATTGATGTTTGTCAGATGCATGACATTCTCGGTGTCTATGAGTATGATTTTGCGTCAGGATCTTTTATAATTTGAATAGTCATCATTCGCAGAAAAAGGGAGGGGCAAACTGAGCTTGAAATAAGAAATAACAGTGCAATGGCCAGTCTCTAAACTGCCCAATGAACAAAGGTACTGTGGCCACCAGTCTTAACCTGCCAATGCTGCCATATAAACAAAAGTGCAATGGCCAGACTCTAACTTGGGCCAGGCTGTTTTCGAAGGAACAAGCGTACAATGCCCAGTCTCTAACCCGTCGAAGGAAAAACGTACTATCACCAGTCTCTAACCTGCCCAATGAACAAACGTACTATACCCAACCCTAACCTGTCGAAGGAACAAACGTACTATGCCCAGTCTCTAACCTTCCAAATGAACAAACGTACTATACCAAGTCTCTAACCTGCCCAATGAACAAACGTACTATGGCCAGTCTCTAACCTGCCCAATGAACAAACGTACTATGACCAGTCTCCAACCTGCCCAAGGAACAAACGTATTATGCCCTGCCCAGTCTCTAACCTGCCCAAGGAACAATAGTGCAATGGCCAGACTCTAACTTGGGCCGGACCGTTGGTGAAGGAACAAACGTACTAAGACCGGTCTCTAACCTGGCAAAGGAGTAATTAAGCGTACTATGTCCACTCTCTACCTGGCCTAGGAACAAACCTATTATGGCCACTCGTCAACCTGTCCAAGGAGTAAACCTATAACCACTAGGCTAAAAACTTACACATCGCTGGCTGTTGTAAATATACCATGAATTAGGCTCTCCAAGGCCATCCATTTAACAGGAAGAAGATTCTAATAAAATAAAGCTAAATAAGTAATCCTTAGTATGTGCTTTTAAATGATTATATCGTAAAAAGTTGTGCTGTTTCCAAAACAAAACAAAGTTGTATTTTTTATGTCAACTCTTTTTGTGTAATGGCATGTCAGTAAAATCGACGGGGAAAAATCGTGAAGTGTTTTAACATGCATAGGTATTCATAATTGCACTGGGCCGTTTTTAAAATGGATATGGCGTCTGTTCTGAATAAAATTTAAACATTTTCAATTTTGTCAATTTTTTCTTTCATTTTTTTGTCCAGATTCTTTTGTTTCTTTGATATTTTCAGTAGAAGTTTCATCAAACATATATTATATTAAAATGATTTAAAAAGAAACCGATATTTCCTAGTCTAGCTTATGAATAATGCCTGAGATAATCAGATTCACCACTTTTGGCAAACCAATCATGCAAATGAAAACATTATTTTCCAGTAAAATTGTCCTTACTATTACACTTCATATACCTGATTGCTTCGTATATATTCCTCAGCACTTGCAATATCTCTCGCCAAACCGAAATCAGAAATTTTTGCAACGTTATCTAATTCACCCGCAAGAAGGATATTTCTGGCTGCCAAATCACGATGGACAAACTGAAATATTGCAAGAACGTTAACAGTATGCATGGATGCAATAATTATTAATAGCATTTATAAGCATATAATGTGGAAGAGTAGTTCACATGAAGACTGATACAGTGGCTGCATGTATGATACCTGTTTGTACTTGTATAGAAGCACAATTTTCGAATCTTATGGAATAGAATGGAATAGACGCTTTCGATAATTACGACACAACATTACCGTTTTGAGATGCTGGGCCTGATGCTGGGGTAACTAGGAGAGTGAGATGGGCCTTGTGTTTTACTCTCATGAGCCAGGTGCAAAGATGCAAAACATCTTCTTTAAAACATGCATGAATTTTTTTTATTTTGATTAAAAAAGGGTAAAAATAAGCTATAACACAAGAACGAGGCTGCCAGTCGTGGTAGCCTCGTTTTAGTGTTACGACTTATTTTTACATTTATTGGTCAAAGTTAAAAATTCTTTTTATGCACGTGTACAAAAACAATGTTTTGAGTAAAACTTAAAATCCATGGCATTTAAGGTGATTCTAAGGTGATTCTAAATTTAAAACGATAATGTTTGACGTAATTATAGAAAAGGTCTATTAAATGCTACTGAATGAGGATTTTAACGGTCAATTTTCAATGGAGAGTATTAGCCTCGGTTAAACTGCGAGTACAATTAGCAGAAAATTCGTGTCAAATTACTATAAGCTATAAGCCTTCATTAGCCCTCGAAAGTCGACCCCTGGTGAAATTGGAACTTTTGGCTTTTAAGTTGATGAGCAAAATCAATTTTTTTCTCAATACCCTAACAACGCAATTTTCTAATACCAAGTAAGCAGTCACGCTAGAATAACGAATCCCGCACTCACTCAATATTGATGATATTTCGTAGTAGGCTGCATCATGCATGCTAAAACAGACAACTATGGATTTTATGATCTTGTTGGACTTTATTAAACCGCCCAACGCAAACGAAATAAACTTTAATAAAGTGGAAGTCAAGTCCATACATAAACAAACGGTTTGATATATGATTGGAAATTCAACGTTTAAAAATTGAGAGTTAGTGCACTAGTAGAGTAGGCACAACTGTCATAGTACCTTTTGATTCGAAAGATGCGCCATTCCACTTGCCACATCAACAGCCATTTTCAAGAGTTGACGAGCGTTCAAAGTAGAAGTTATACGCGATTCGTGTGTATTAATAACTCTGCTTTTTCTAAGAAATTTCCGAAGATTTCCAGCAGAGCAGAATTCTGTCACCACCATTAGTTTTCCTGAAGTAAAACATTTCATATTCGCACGCGACTTCAATTAAACACACATACATGATACAAAGTGCAACAACCCTACCTACTAAAGGAAAGATATTAATGAACAAATATAGTAATATTGGTTTTCCATTTTTTTCTCACCTTCCAAAACACATCCGCCTATAAATCGTATTACATTTGGATGACGTTCTTTGTTAATTTTTTTCAAGATCTCCAACTCGGCCAAAAGATCAGATATATCAGATTCCTTCGCAGTATCTGAAACAACGTCGAAGATTTTAAAAGTTAGTTGCACGTTATATAATATTTAAGAAATAGAAAACATTTCTGCGTTTCTATTTAACAATCAGGCTTCGCCTTCGTTGACTATTCGCTCACAGACAACTTGGACTCGTTGTCTAATTGTTGTCAACAAAGGCAAGTTGTCTAATTGTTTTAGTATACACCCTGTACCTAGACATATCAATTTCGAGAAAAAAATCGATACACCGCAATTACACCGAAAAATAATTTAATTTATTCAATTTTATACGGTCGCGCGAGCGAATTTTTCCCAAACCTTCACCATCATCACACCAATGGTTGAGTAGCAAATCAGAATGTAGGATTTGTAATAGACAATAGTCGGGTGTATACTAAGCAGTTTTAGCATAGATTTTGAGGTGACTATCTATTTTTTTCCATTATTCCGATTCACCAAGATTCACTGTCTCTGAAGTGACTGTCACTGGTCAGTGACTATAGCTTTTTGTGGTTGTATTTCAACTAAGAAATTTAAAATAATTATTTTTATGAAATTATGTTGATTATTATTTGTAAACACCTCGAAATTTATACTAAAACAATTAGTTGCCTCTGGCTATGTAATCACCTCACCTTCAAAAACTAATTGTTAATTAAATAGAGACACGCGTGGGGGTTTGGAAGGAGGTTATTAGAATTCGAGTTCTCCCAAACTGTCGAGTGTGTTTCTATGACTGTATTGAAACACAAGAATTTTTTTTATCTATTTTATTTATATATATAACTGAAAAAAAAGATTTTGTACAGATATTATAATTCGATTCAATTACAAATTCTCATTACGTTACATCGCTTGTCAATTTCGGTGAGAAAAGTCTCGTGTTTCTATACAGTTATATAAATTATATAGAAACACGCTTCTCGACCAATCAGCACACGCGTATTAGAAATGTTATATTATAAAATGCAATATGAATTCATTTAAGATTATTTACCTTTCAACATTTTGACAGCAACAAGTTCAGGATTATCCTGTCCCGGAGCCGTATATGAAGCTTGTTTAACGATTCCAAATTGTCCAGCCCCGAGTGTTTTTTCCATTATGTGCAGGTGGTAAGGCGAAATTTCCCAGTCTTTCAATATGGTTACATATGAGATTTCTTCTGGATGGAGCTCTAAAGGAAAATTCGCGTTTTTTTATGTCCCAGCTAATTGGGAAATTTTACACCATGTTAGAAAGTATATATGGACAATAGACACCAAAAGTGTAGTGAATGCTATTCTTTTATAATAATTATTTTGTTACCTATGATAGGTATGTTTAAATGATTTGTTTGTCACTGGCCATGCCCAAGAATGAAAAATACTTTCCACACTTTTATCATCATATCATAGACATTTTAGCCACTTATCATGCAGATTTGCAAATTTAACTTTCCACTGTGCAGGCAGCGAGTGCCTCTATTCGAAACATTGAACAGGTTGCATTAATTGAATCAATTAATATTTTGTGGGACTTTACTTTACCATTCAACTTTGAGTGAAGTGACACAAAATTTTGACTAATTAATGGCAGAATATAGGATTCTTTATTTTGAATAAAAGAAAAATTTCCTTGCAGCTACAATTACTAACCGCTTTCTTCGTTTAACTGTTCCAGCTCAAGCAATGCATCATTTCGGGAATTTGTCGTTTTGGACCGGTTTGTGATTCAGGATTCAAATTCCTGTCAAAAAATGTACAGTGAAAAGTGATTCCAATATAATTGTCGGAGACTGTCTACACATCTATCTATTATAATATATATATATATTATAATATATATAATATATATATATATATATATATATTATATATATATATATATATATATATATTATATATATTATATTATATATATAATACTCAATACTAGTGATTCATTAACGCGATTAATTATTGCATCAATTTTGGGCGCTGATTTGCATGATTGACACATCTAGATTATTATCAATAAGATTATAGGAGTTAAAGACAAGGGAGGGACTGAGTGCGAGAGAGAGAATTGAGACCGCTGTTATCAGAGGGAGTGTTTTGTGTTATCGAGAATATATCTTTCAAAAAAACCGAATCCGCTTCGTCTACTTTAGTTGCTTATACCTTTTAGTAAGGGTCAATTTACTAAATAATATTGGCAATATTACTTTATTGTGGATTTTCGCTTTTTTCATAAAGATCTACATCTTGAGTAAACATTAGTTTTTTTTTGCAATATATATATATTTAATATATATAATATATATATATATATATAATATATATATATATATATTAATATATATATATATATATTTATCAATGAACAGATATTTATCATTAACAGACATATTGATATTCCTGCAGTCTATCTGCAACTTAAGACAAGACGTAAGGACTCTATCAATAATCACATTAATGTAACTAATAATAACTTAAATCCACCCGCATCTGATACACAACAATCTAATCATTCCACAGCGACCATCCCTGACAACGAAATGCAGTCAACCATGACAACGCATCCCTCAACTACCACTCATATCAGATCAACTTCAAAACAACCAATCAGACGCTCTCAACGTATACAGAGTCTTAAAGAACAGCGCGAAACTTAAATATATAAAGCTATACACATGTAAATAATTTAGATATTCTGAAGAAGACTCGAAGTACCGAGTCGAATAAATATATATATATATATACGAAAACTTTTGGTTTTACCTTTATTGAATTCTCTCTGCGTCTATTTCGAATTTTCTTTACTATAAATAAAAGGGAAAACGAAGCCAAGCAAATAAACACAGATCCTGCTACGCCCCCTGCAATGGCATAGTCTGGTTGTGAATTTACAGCTTTTGTTAACACCAGCGCCGTTGAGACCTTTTGACCACCCACGGCATTGTCCGTCGAAACACCTCGTGGATTCTCTGCACTCATGGTCGGAACACGCTCTCGTTCATCGATTGTTACGTTGTTAAGACAGACAGCTTCACCAACACCATTCTTATCAACAGCTTGCACTTTGAAATTGTATAATCCAGGTTTTTCTAAAAAATGAAAGAACTGAATAGATGACTAGAAGATTTATCAGATATATTACTAGAAGATGACTGGTCATAAATGGATTTATTAGATAGAATAGAATTTCTCCTTGAACTTTTCTCACTGTTTTCTCACTAGAAGTCATAAATGGAAACGTTTTTTCCTTTCCATATAATATGAAAGCAGTACCGAATTGTGCGTAAATAAATGTAAATCAAATTCACAAATTAAAACGTACACTGACACAGAGTTCTATAATAGACCTAATGCATAATGACTTAACAAGCCGTGACACCTGCAGGGGATTCTGGTCTTAGTAATCACGGCGGGAAATTTTGAAGTTTGAATTTTTTCCCGTTACTACTACCTTACTAAAACCAGAAAAACCAGATGCGCCACGGCTTGGTACGTCATTATGCATAAGGTCTTTTGTGTGCCTATAAACAATACAATGCGTATAAATTCGATTTACAAAGAAACAGCTAGTATTGTTTGACTTAATATTTTGTGAAATTAATTCAAAAGCGTTTTGCATGTGAGTAATTGGTAAATGATTGGTAAATAAATTATTTACAATAATAAAATTATTCTCCCATGTTTGTAAATAGTATGCAAGTATCTAACAATGCAGTTTTCTTAAATATAAGAAGTTTATAATATGTTAGCTTCCGGGAGACTAAATAAATTTCAAATTCGAAATTTAAACTACACTTTGGTTGTGGAAAAAAGCCATTGTGATACAGTTACATTTTATTGATATGTGAAAACGACGACGATCATCGCACGCTGTCTCCGATGCAACTTTGATTCGGTTTGTGTAAAATACATTGATGTGCAATGGATTGATTTGAATATTTGTTTCAATATTTTAAAACTTGTTGTATAACTTCTGTTGTAATTTCAGCTATATTAAATCATATAGTGCATACTCACCAAAATCACGTAAAAAAGGACTCGACACAACCTGTTTTTGGACTGATAGGCTACTCCGATTTGTCCCCCAGGATACGAGATAATGCTGGACAATATTATCCGAAGCAATTTCTGGCTTGAGCCACGAAAGTGTTAAACTTCTTCCATTAACCACGACTGTCAAATTTCTAGGTTTACTTGGTCCTAAAAATATATGTAAGACTATAAAGTCTGTAAATTGTGGTGATCATGCAATTTTTCCAAATTTTCCTGCTATTTTCTTTGAAGAAAGGCAGAATTCAAAATATACAACTACGTAGCTATAGAGTGTATCAGCATGGGAAACAGAAATATTTCAAACTCAACTTTAAAAGGGTAATTTGACATGTCTATAACCCTTGTCAAATGAATGGTCAAATGAATAGGAATAAATTAATAATTGCCACAAATAAAAATATTATTTATTATTTCGGTACTAAAATTTTTGAAGTAGCGTTAACAGGCTATATACGGCTGAAGTGTTCAACAAAATTTTCCGGTACCGGGCAGAAAATAAATAATATTGAAAGGACTCCGTGGGAAATGCTAAGAAACTAGCCGCGCTTCTTGTAAAACTTAGCTTTCAAATTTGGAGACAAAAACAGAAAAATTCGAAAACAAAATATTCCCCGCGAACGCCACAACCAGTCAACATTATATTAATTATCATTCACTATCATGTTTTCTGACATGTTAGGATCTCTACAAGCTCTTCCGCCCTGCATTTTACTTGAAAGTTTATAAAGAATGAAGTCTCACCAAGGGAAGGTTGGGGACAGAAAGCGTACACAATTCTGTCGACCAACAGAATTAAATCATGAAATGTAGATGAGAGCGTTTGACCGGCTGTTGATATATTTGTCAAGAATGGCACAGTTCTAACTTTTTGTTGACTGTTACCAGCAGCAATCCCAACAATGATTATGCCTTTGTCTCTCAGTTTCTTTGCTTCAGCTATGGCGATGTCGTGCGGTTGTTCAACTTTTCCCCTCCTTCGCGTTGGTGGTCCATCAGTGAGCAGAATTATGACATCATCTTTATCTTGTCGATGATTTAGTGAATTATTTCTCTTGAATATCTGTAAAATAATGAATCTATGTATATTTAGAGCCCCTATATATATATATATATAATATAAATATATATATATATAATATATATAATATAATATATATAATATATATAATATATATATATATATAGCTATAATATACATATATATATATTATATAATATATATATATAATACGACACTATTATACATGCTTTTTTGTTATATAGAAAAGGAAAGCAGGTCACAAATTGATAGTTACTGATTTGGCCGCTTTTTTTAAAGATAATATATTATTTGGATGCTTTTATCGTCGCAAACCAGTAACGTAAGACTAAAAACATACTTGATTTTAGGATGACTCGATAAAGTTAATATATTAAATAATGCTGATAATTTGAGATATTTCCAGTGCTATAAAATAATAGCATAATTTTTTTTTCTGAAAAAAAAATGTTATTATTTTTTTTAATATCATATAACTCCTTGTATTCGTCTGTGCATGTATGAATTATATTCAGTGAATAACTGATTCGATTTAAAACCATGAACAATTTGACTTACCTCATTTGCTTTTAGTAAAGCTACATCCGTTCTTTTTTCATGATAACCTATCAAATAGTGATATTGGAGCATCGCAATTCTGTTTTCCACATCCGCTTTATTCAGACTTTTCATTGATAATTGTACTTGAGTATTTTTCTCATCACTAAACGTGATGATTGAAATATGGCTTCCTTCTGGTGAGACATTCAGTTCAAGATTGTTGACAAGTACACGAAGAAAGGATATACAGAGTTGAGAGTTTCTAAATCCAATCGAAGATGAAGTATCAACAATAATCAAAACATCTTTAATGCATTTGCCTACAAAATTAGTAAAAGCAAAATAATTATCCAAAAGAGAGTGCACAAGTACCACGAAATACCAAATTATACTTAATTTGTTTGGAAAGAATAGAATAAAATTATTGCAGTTATGAAAGATTGTTGCATTTAAAAGTGTGCACCAGTTCACACGGGTGATTATTCTTCTCATTTCAGTGTAGTAAGTCAGATTTAACAGGAAATTGATTATATAAGTCTTTAGCTAACGCGCGTATTTTGCCAAGCACAAAAAATCCGCGAGTTTCTGAAACCCTCTTTTATTTTCGCTCGCTGAAAGAATTAATGTCAAAGTAATTAAAAGAAAAAAACAATGAAAAAATGGTGTGAGAACTTACTTGGAGTAGATTTAGTTTTCCTTAGTTTTATAGTTTTGGATCGTTTTGTTATCTGCTTATTACAGCAAATATCCAGAGCTACGCAGATGAAACTAAACTTAGGAATACCGGTGGATAAATAGTTGTCTAATGTTGCTATCCAAAAGGACCAAACTTTCTTAAATGTTGTGTAATTCAATTGTCGCACTGTACCATCATCATCAGTTCGTTCCCAGTACATCTCTTGGATATCACCAGATGCATTACAGGTCAAAGTTAGTGGTCCTGGATGTGAATAATACCTCGGCCCAGTTATAGGAGCAGAAAACTTAATATTTTTTACTGTTGCTGGATTGCATTCTGAAATGGAAAATGAGAAAAGTTTAGAGGAACTTGGGCAAGCGAAAGATAGTTCGTATTCTAGTTCTCCCATGTAAGTTCGTTACCCTATGTAATCATAAGTACGGTATTTATTGGCCAGCCAGCAAAGAACTCTCTATATTTTAATTGTCAGGTCTTTCTTTTCCCTTTTTAAATCTATCTAACATATTGTAAATATAGCATACATATTTAGTTTTATTCACAACCTTATCATGTTTCGCTCTGCTTGGTTTACCGGCCTTCCGCCTATATATATGCGTTGTAAAGTATTGTATTTCATTCTGTCTGAAGATGACTTTGTAATAAAGTCGAAAATTTACAGTCTTAATCTGTGTCTTGTTTGAATTATATTTTGATTCTCAAGATGTCTTGTTTATTCGGAATTTGCTTTTTACTGTATTTATTGGGGTTACTAATGATCTAATGATTTCGGTTCTACACCGATTGTCGTTATACAGGGTGTATCAGAAAAAACTAGAAGATTTTAAAATGTTCAGAAAACTATCATTTTATCAAGATATCTCAAAAATATATTTAGGTCTAAGTATTTTAGCATCTTCTGGCTTATCTAACAGTAGATAACCCCCCCCATATAGCTAGCAAAGGGTGCCGACACAATAGGTTCACGTGAACAAAAATCACGATTCACGTGGACAAAGACCATGCGTTTGCACGTGGGCATGGGTCTTGGATCATGTGAACAAAGAAGTCATGATTCATGTGGACAATGACCATGAGGTACATGTGAACAGGGATCATAGATCATGTGGGATGGAGATTTTCCATCACGTGAATAGGAATCAATCATTGAACATGTGTACAGTAGGATGCATTTAGAGTGTAAATGAGATCATTTACAATTAATTTAATATGTTATAAAATTTATAAGATAATTCACAAATTTCTTCTGCTTTTGCCTCGTTCACGGAGATCTACCCCAGCCAAGAAGCATTTAATAATCTTAATATAGTAGCTATAAACTTTTTTTTTTAAAAAACCCCGACTATTCTTACATGGAATATTTCGGTTTACAAACACAAAAAATATAGTCCAAGAAATACTCCAAACATTTTGCTAAATTACTTCCTTTCTGCCGAGTATACGTCCATCAATTGCAAGTATGGCAGCGCGAATATTAGTTCAAATTCTGTTTTGTGGATTTGCGGTTCCTTAGCACATCATATGCTTCGCCAACTGCTTGCCAAAGCTTAGTTTTTTTCTTCTCTGCTTTTGCCTCATTTACGCAGATCCATCAACCAACCGATCTGGGCTCCTTTTGCTGATTTTTTCAATTTTAACTTCCTCTGTATGAACTTTATTATAATGTTAGCCATAATCTCATCTCTGGCTAAAGTTTTCACTATTGTTAAATCAGCACCGTACATTTGTTTAAATGAATGAGTCATTTTAGAATGAGTACATTGGTGCTTAAGAAATGTAAATGAAGAGATTTCGCTCGGTTGCACACATCAAGTCAGATCCTGTTTACACTGTACCCGATTCGCATGGTCACGACATCAGTTTAAGTTGTTTTACCGTATATTTGTCTCCCAGAATTTTTGTCAGATCATGCTAAAGTAACCATACTACCAAACGTTTGGAGGTGAAACTCCCGTTGACATGATTAATTTTGATGTCGTGACCATGCGAATCGGGACTAAGAGGCTACTTTTGGGATGTAAATTAGGCGCTTGAAAAATTAAATGCGTGGGAAGAGCACGTTGTGGATGTAAATGAGGCCGGCTAGCAAATGATATGCATGGAGAAAGCACGTTGTGGATGTAAATGAGGGGCGTGCGAAATTAGACAAACGTGGGTATGCTAAAGAGGAATGTGAGACCACATGAACAGAGTGTGCAAGTGGTGTGATTAACACGTCGTCTACGCAAATGAATAATCCTTGAAAGTAATATGGGTTACAATTTTGTGGAATGAGCCGATGAGCACATGCGTATAACTGCTCATAATTGCTCGTAACTGCTCATGAGAACATGCTCAACCGCTCGTAGACATTTTTAATACCAAACTATTAAGTAGTATTAATATCAGATTTGGGTAGATTTTGAAGGCAAAATGGGTTGCAATTTGGTGCAATGAGCGTATGAGCATGTGCTCATAACTGCTCATAACTGCTCATAACTGCTCGTGGACACATCCTCATAGCTGCTCATAGCCGCTCATAGCTGCTCATAGCTGCTCATAGCTGCTCATAGCCGCTCATAGCTGCTCATAGCTGCTCATAGCTGCTCATAGCTGCTCATAGCTGCTCATAGCTGCTCATAATTTATTAGTTGCTCATAGCTGCTCATAGCCGCTCATAGCTGCTCATAGCTGCTCATAGCTGCTCATAATTTATTAGTTGCTCATAGCTGCTCATAGCTGCTCATAGCTGCTCATAATTTATTAGTTGCTCATAGCTGCTCATAGCCGCTCATAGCTGCTCATAGCTGCTCATAGCTGCTCATAGCTGCTCATAATTTATTAGTTGCTCATAGCTGCTCATAGCTGCTCATAGCTGCTCATAATTTATTAGTTGCTCATAGCTGCTCATATTAGTTGCTCATAGCTGCTCATAGCTGCTCATAATTTATTAGTTGCTCATAGCTGCTCATAGCTGCTCATAGCTGCTCATGAGTTAATCGGCTTCTGTGCTCATAAAATCCAGTTACTGCTCAATAACAAACCATTTTTACACAATCAGTCCTAAGGGAATGAGCTGCCAGTTTTGCGGGAAGCACTTTAGACGCGGTTACAATCTGCGCAGACACGAACGGGAATATTGTCCACTAAAACAGCAAGAAAGAGGCATGTCTCGAAGAGACTCGGACAGTCAAGAAAGGGATTTGCAGGACGATGTCTCGACCACTTCATCTGTAAAGTCTGAAAGTTCGATGACGACTGACTCAGAAACTGAAGAAAAAATGGATCCATGGATACCTCTAATAGAAGAAGCAAAGCAAAAAAGTAATACAGATTTTGAAGAAATGAAAGAAAGCCTTAATAAACACTGGCCTGGATGAGCAATCTGCTAAGGAGAAAGCTTACTCGAATATTATGCCTATACTCCAGAAAGAATTGGAAAATATTTATTTGGAACGCCTTCTGTGGATGAGACAACTAAAGAAAGATCCAGTACATAAGAAAATAATGCACACAAAAGATGCGTTTGTTGAAAATGACGATTTTGATCCAGAAGAGGCAATAGAAGCTGCTGTTGATAAGAGAAAGTTTCTTATTAAAAGGCTTTTAAACAATCACCAGGTTCAGGATGAAGAAGAAAATACAGATAGCGATGATGATAATTAGAAATAATGATTTTCTAAACCATTCTTATTAAGAAACCATGAAAAACGAACAAAAAGAGATAAAAAACGATTTAGAAGAAATTATTATACCAGAAAAATAAATGTTAAAATCGTTATTCCAATGATTGTCTTTGTTATTTCGTTCAACCAGTATGAGCAGCTATGAGCAACTAATAAATTATGAGCAGCTATGAGCAGCTATGAGCAGCTATGAGCAACTAATAAATTATGAGCAGCTATGAGCAGCTATGAGCAGCTATGAGCAGCTATGAGCGGCTATGAGCAGCTATGAGCAACTAATAAATTATGAGCAGCTATGAGCAGCTATGAGCAGCTATGAGCAACTAATAAATTATGAGCAGCTATGAGCAGCTATGAGCAGCTATGAGCGGCTATGAGCAGCTATGAGCAACTAATAATTTATGAGCAGCTATGAGCAGCTATGAGCAGCTATGAGCAGCTATGAGCAACTAATAAATTATGAGCAGCTATGAGCAGCTATGAGCAGCTATGAGCAGCTATGAGCGGCTATGAGCAGCTATGAGCAACTAATAAATTATGAGCAGCTATGAGCAGCTATGAGCAGCTATGAGCAACTAATAAATTATGAGCAGCTATGAGCAGCTATGAGCAGCTATGAGCGGCTATGAGCAGCTATGAGCAACTAATAAATTATGAGCAGCTATGAGCAGCTATGAGCAGCTATGAGCAGCTATGAGCAGCTATGAGCAGCTATGAGCGGCTATGAGCAGCTATGAGCAGCTATGAGCAGCTATGAGCGGCTATGAGCAGCTATGAGGATGTGTCCACGAGCAGTTATGAGCAGTTATGAGCAGTTATGAGCACATGCTCATACGCTCATTGCACCAAATTGCAACCCATTTTGCCTTCAAAATCTACCCAAATCTGATATTAATACTACTTAATAGTTTGGTATTAAAAATGTCTACGAGCGGTTGAGCATGTTCTCATGAGCAGTTACGAGCAATTATGAGCAGTTATACGCATGTGCTCATCGGCTCATTCCACAAAATTGTAACCCATATTACTTTCAAGGATTATTCATTTGCGTAGACGACGTGTTAATCACACCACTTGCACACTCTGTTCATGTGGTCTCACATTCCTCTTTAGCATACCCACGTTTGTCTAATTTCGCACGCCCCTCATTTACATCCACAACGTGCTTTCTCCATGCATATCATTTGCTAGCCGGCCTCATTTACATCCACAACGTGCTCTTCCCACGCATTTAATTTTTCAAGCGCCTAATTTACATCCCAAAAGTAGCCTCTTAGTCCCGATTCGCATGGTCACGACATCAAAATTAATCATGTCAACGGGAGTTTCACCTCCAAACGTTTAGTAGTATGGTTACTTTAGCATGATCTGACAAAAATTCTGGGAGACAAATATAC